AAATAAAATAAAAACTAAGTAAACCATTTGAAAAAAATTTTCTCTCTTCCCTCTCTCTCCTTCCCCCTCCCCCCCCATATAAAAATTGCGCACCTTTCATTTAATAAAAAAAAAAAAATCAATGAAAAGGTTTAATGGTAACAACAATGTGTGTGTGTGTGTGGGGGGAGGGGATTCCATGACTAATGCGGTGGCTCCCCGAATGAAAATGAGCTTTTCTTCTTTTCTTTTCCTATCTTAAGTATATTTATTTTTATAAAAACTTTTATTATTATTATTATTATTATTATTAAATCTGTCGACGAAACAAAAAATAATAATAATAATAATAGTAAATAATTTTTGGTAAAATATTTTTCATTTAAATAAAAGATGTGAGTGACGACTTTAATAAAAGTTTTTCATATTTAAAATCTACGGTTTTGGTTGGGGTCAATCCTGACCGTAAAAAAAAATTTTTTTTTTTTTTGGAGAAAAGCCAGCAGACGACAACTGAATGAAGGATCCCTTTTTTTATAAAAAATAAAAATTCTTATTTTAATTACGTATTTAATTTTTAATCTCTAACGTCGCAAACTCGCACACACGCACACGCACCCACACACACGCAGTATATAAAAAAGTAAGATTTAAAATTAATTATTATTATTATTATTGTTACAGATACCAGACGGAGTGGAGTTGTCTTTATGGGAGCTCCAAGAAATGGCAACGAGACAACAGCAACAAATTGAATCCCAACATCAGATATTAGTAGCCAAAGAGCAAAGACTAAGATACCTGAAACATCAAGAAGCGAGAACGCATCAAGTGGCAGCAGAAAATGAAAGGTTAAGAAGGTTAAAAGAACGGGTCGAAGCTCAGGAATTAAAATTAAGAAAATTGAGAGCTTTAAGAGGTCAAGTAGATCAGGACAAAATCAGTAACGGTACTTTGAGTACGTAAACATTTTCTCTCTCTCTCACACACTCTCTCTCTCTCTCTCTCATTCGTTTTCCTACAGCGTTAAAATTAACAGAAAAAAAAAAAAAAGTAATTAAAATTTATATAATATTTACAAACGAATACTTGTTGTATTCGACGACGATGCTTAACCCAATAATAATAATAATAATAAATTTAATTTTTTCTCTATTATCCATTTTCAATCGTTTGTTCATTACTTAAATTTTATTTAACTTTCCTCCCTCCCTTTTCCACCTTTCTCTCCCTGCCCCCCGATCCGAAAATAAAAAATTTAAAGTAAAAATAATGATAATGATAATAATACCGACCTTAATTTCATTGTTTTTTGTTTTTTTAAACGCCCATTTTTTTTTTTTTTTTTCACCTTTTGTCTCACAGACAGAGAGAAACATTATACAAAAAATAATTTAACGTGTGCGTGTGTGCGTGCGTGCGTGCGTGCGCGTGGGGGTATTATACGCCTAAAATAAATTAAAAAAACATTTTTTTTTGATTTTAGTTTCGAGTATCGAAATTTTTTTCTAAAATTTTCTTTTTAGTATGAATGAAAAATGAAAAAGAAAAAAAACGTCAAATCATTTATATCCGTTCTTTAGTAATAATAATAATAATAATAATAATAATAATAATATACTTGTGTGTGTGTGTGTTGATATAATTAAAAAAAGTTTCTCTAATTATTATTATTATTATTACTAGGAGGTTTAATGAAATTAAAAGTTTTAATTAATATTATTTCTTTACCTTTTTTTATTTTCTTTCCTTCTTCATCTTCTTATTCCCTTTTGTATTTTCATCTTTTCAATTTTCCTTTCTTCCTTCTGATGTTTAATTTGTTTTTTACCTAATTTTTCATTATTTAAAACGCTTTAACACCCTCCCCTACCCTCCTTCTCCTCCCTCCCTCCCTTTTTTTACGTAAAGAGTTTGATTTTTTACACGCGTCTGTGAGACACGTTATTATTATTATTATTTTAACACGCGCGAAAGGATTTTATTATTATTATTATTAATGTGAATTTAAATATTTCAGCCTCTGATTTAGACACTATAAGAGCTTTGTTCAATGAAAAAGAAAAGGAATTGTCGTTGGCAGTGGCTAAAGTCGAAGAATTAACAAGACAGTTGGAGGAATTAAAAAGAAATGGACGGACTAAAGAAGCTCAACCAACAGCGACAGCTGCCTTAGAATTAGATAAATTACGACGGGAACTTTTGGTAACAAAAAAAAAAAAAATTAATTTAATTAAATTTTTTGTTTATTTTCATAATGTTTTTAAAATTATATGTATATATTTTTAGTTTCGAAATAAATTAAAGGAACAACAAAATGCTCAACTCAATCAACAACGTGATGCATTGACCCAAAGGCAAGAAGAAATAAATTCAATAGACAAAAGAATAACCGAACTTCAGGACAGGCTTCAAAGGAAAAGATTATTAAATCAACAATTGGCAAATCAATTGCATTTCAACAACAACAACCAAACTAATGTTGTTAAAAACAATAGTGATAACAACCAAAATAATATCAATAACGTCACTTCAAACGGCAATAATAATAATAAGCAAATTTTAATGAGCAGCATAAGAGGTTCAAAATCAGCCATTGGATTATTATCAGGTTATCAGGGTCAACGTCATAATGTTGCCGCCGTTGAACCTTTCATACACGTACCAAATGCTTATCACCATCAGGTAATAATAAAATTTTTTTTTTGTTTTTTTTTTTTTTTTGTTTTTTCCTTTTGGTAAAAAAATGTTTTTTTTTTTTTTTTTTTTTTTTTTTTTGTTTTAGCGAACCGGTCCTGATTTAATTAAACAGAACTCTGAAGATGTTCCTAAAAATATTGTTTATCAAAAGCAAATATTAAAACCTCCTTTGACGAAAGATCATCATTCGGAAGATGTTGTTAACGAACTAGGTGTTAAAAGTGAATTAAATAAAAACAAAAGAAATTATGCGGAAAATAAAAGAGTCGTTGAAAATCTTATTGATGATGGTGGTGGTGGTGGTGGTGGCGGTGGCGGCGGCGTCGGTGTTGGTAATAAACCTCGTGAAAATATCGGAGTCGAATACATTCCGGAATTTGGTGCGAGCAAACTCGATCCGAAATATCAAACCCTTCCGTACAACACGAAATTCGGTATCAATCAACACAAAAATATCGGTCATCAAAGTGTCGGTGATGTTACTACAATTGAAAACAACAATGATGGATTATACGAAAGGAATACGGGGATTGTGAATCCGGTGGGCCAACAACAACAACCACAACAGCAACCACCTCTCATGACCGTTCACAACCCTCATATTTTACCTCCCAATTTGAACAACATTAATCGAATACCGAATCATTTGAATCCCAGGTAAATTTTTATATCATTATTATTATTATTATTATTATTATTATTATTATTATTATTTCATTTTTTTTTTTTAAATTAAATGAATTTTATTTTAAACCAGGATATATGGACAACAACAACAACAACCACCACCACCACCTTCGCAAATCAAAGGACAACCCATGGGAACGTCACCGCCGGTTAATAACGTATCAACATCAAATTCCAGTCCGAATTTAAATATTCCTAGACCTAATTTTCTCGCCAAAGGAAGCAATAATAATAATAATAATAATAATAATAATAATATTAATAATAATAACAATAATAATAATCAATCACAGAAATTGGTGGGGAAAGGTGGAAAACCGATCAGTAGCGTAGCCCCGACGAGTATCGTTCAAAAATTATCACCCAAAAATTTTTTAACATCCATAGATAAACCCAATCCAAGTTCAATTTATCAAACGAGTTCGACAAAAATTTTACCCGTACAACCACAAACGTTGGGTTCGACTCCTCAGGTATTTGACTCATCTTTTACTTCTTTTCCTTTTTTTTGTTTTCAAGACTTCTTAATGTGATTTGAATAACTTTTTGGTTTTTTTCATCATCAGGGCGTATATAGAGAAGTGAAAGGAGGAGGAGAGCAATTGATATCGAATCATTTGATGATAGCAGAAGGAACGGAAAGTAAAAATAAAAAACCAGCTTTGCCTCCAAAACCGGCGGTACCAATCAAACCAAGTCCACCGCCACCTCCTCGATTGGGTCATCCTCCCGAATGTCCAGAATCGAAAGGTTTCGTTGAAATCACGGCAGAATCTCTTGATCAAGCTCTCGGTGGAAAATTACCCGGAGTAGTATTAAATTGTAAAATGGATGAAGTGCCTTCAAACAGGGAACCATCAAGAAGTCCTACTCCGCCCCCGCCACCTCCTCCAACCTCCGAACCACCACCAGACGATTATAATTCGACAATGATGATGGACAATTTTGATTTGGATGTAAAAGATGATAAATCCGTTAACGTTGATAATAATATATCAAACCAAAGTTCAAATTTAGTGAATTCCAATGAATCAGGGACGACTTTAATAAACAATTGTACCTATAATATAAATAATAATAATAATAATAATGTAATTAATAATAATAATAATTCTATAAACAATAATTACGTGAACAATAATAATAATAGTAATAATATCAACAATATGCACATGACAATAAATAGGCGAATAGATATGCCGCCGGCATTTATGTATCCGGAAACGGAAGTAAATAACGTTAAAGATGAAAATGATAAATATATAATGGGTAAAAAATTTGAAGGTACAAATGCGGATATTGATAAAAAATCAATGGACGAATTAGATAGAATATCAACGAAATCGAACGATAATTACATAACAAATAATAATATCGAATCGAATGAAAAAGAAAAAAAATTTTTAGAAACGGAAGAAGTTGTTTTGAAATATTCAAACGATTCACCGGAAGTTCATAACAATATAGGTGAGATGACAACAAACTTTTTTTTTTTTTTTTTTTTTTTTTTTGCGTTTCGAATTACAATTCGTTAACATTTTTTTTTTTTGTTTTTCTTTTAGGAGAATCAATTTCTCAACAAATTGTAAGAAGAGTGAAAAAGGGAAATTTAAAAAGTAATAATAATAATAATAATAATAGCAATAGTAATAGTAATAGTAATAAAGGAAACGGATGTAGACGAGTAAGTTTCGATCCTCTCGCGCTTCTTCTCGATGCGTCATTAGAGGGTGAACTCGAACTTGTTATAAAAACGGCGTCGCAAGTTGCCAATCCGAGTGCTGCCAACGACGAAGGTATAACGGCTTTACATAATGCCATTTGTGCCGGTCATTTGGAAATTGTTAAATTTCTTGTAGAATTCGGTTGTGACGTCAATGCTCAAGACAGCGACGGATGGTAAAACTAAATTATTATTATTATTATTTTTAATTTAAATAACCTTATCATTATTATTAATATTACTTTTTTTTTTTTTTTGTTACAAAAGGACTCCTCTTCATTGTGCTGCTTCGTGTAATAATTTGGCAATGGTTCGATTTTTGGTCGAACACGGAGCTTGCATATTTGCAACAACACTCAGCGATCATGAAACGGCAGCAGAAAAATGCGAAGAAGACGAAGAGGGATTTGACGGATGTTCAGAATATCTTTACAGTAAGTTTTTCCTTTTCTTATCAATATTCGTTATCATATTATCATGGCATCGTTTTCGTTTTCCATCCAGGCATCCAAGAAAAATTGGGTATATTAAATAACGGTATGGTTTATGCCGTTTACGATTATACAGCTCATAATAATGATGAATTAAGCTTTAGCGAAGGAGATCGTTTGATTATACTCAGGAAAGGGGATGAAATGGAAAGGGAATGGTGGTGGTCGAGGTTACAGGATAAAGAAGGTTACACACCGAGAAATTTATTAGGGGTAAAAACAACAATATAAATTATTTATTTATAAATAATACTAATGATGCATAAAATAAAACTTTTTTTTTATTATTATTAATTTTCAGTTGTATCCGAGAATTCACGGGAATGGAAAAACAGAATAAAAAAAATTTTCCCTTTTGATTGGTTTTGATATTTTTTATTTAACAAATTATTATTATTATTTTTATCAACGGTAAATGACGATGTTGTGATATAATCAATTGAGATATTATATATATATATATATATATTTATATATAAATTAATATTTATTATGTTTTTTTTTTTTTTTTGATTATATATAATGATAATAATAAATAAATAAATATTATGTCCTAAAGTTAATAAAAAAAAAAAACAAATTATTATTTACATAATTTAAATAAAAATATGATGAAATTATTATTATTATTATTATTATTATAAATAATTGCGTTTAATTACTTATAACCTTTTAATTATTATTATTATTATTTTTTTTTCAAATGAGTTTTTAAAACATGAAGGAATCCCCCCACCATTTACAATAAAATAATTTTAAAAAATTATTTAAAAAATTTTATTTTTATTTTTTTTGTTTGTTTGACAAATTTTCAAGTCTTAAACGTTTTTAATTAAATAAATAAATATTTTTGTGATATATTTAAGGCTTAAATTCAGAAAAAAAGCAAAATTTATATCGAAATCAATTACTACTGCATAATTATTCAATAAATTAAAGGTAAATATCAGAAAACTAACGACGGTCCTGGTCCTCCAAAAGATCCATTATTTGGAGAATGATCATCCCAATCGTCATCGTAATCTTTTTTACGTACCACAGAATGTTGTCCCATTTTTTTCTCCGATAAAAACCTTTGATTGTCTCTGAAAAATATTTTTTATTTTTTATAGCAGACGACGATTTATTTTTTTGATGAAAATTTTCACGTTTTTATCACCTGTTAACAACGAGTTGTAAATTGGACGGTAGTGGACCCATTGGAGGATCCGAAATGTTACTTTGACGAAGAAACAAAATATAAGGAGATCCACCACTGTTATTCCATTCGTATTTGGCTAAAGAAACCTTAAAGAAGAAAAAGAGAAAGAAAAGTTAAAAAAAGATCAGGCGTAAACTTTACTTCAATAACTTACGATTGAATCGTTAAATGTAAACCATTGTCCTGATTGGTCGACAGCAGAAGAAAAATAATGGCCGCCATCTAAAGAACTACCAGAGTGTAAAACGACTCCCTTCAATTGATACATAACTAGCTAAAATAAAAGAAATCGTCCGGACTAGATAATATTTCCTGAAATCTTTAGTCTTTTAATTATTTATTATTATTATTTTTTTTTTTTTTTAAGGAAAAGCCACCGGAAACTCACATCCGTTTGTAATTGTGCTGAATTATAAACAGGAAGTTCGATCGTCGTTACATTTTTTAATTTGCTGTGAAGTTTTAATCTTTGTTTTCTATCCGGATCGAATCTTTAATAAATAATACGTAAATTTAACAACAATTTTTTTTATCAAATGAAAGCAGAAGAAATTATAAATATATAAACCTAAATAATTTAAGTGTGAGTATCAAATGTTGAGGAGCTTGAACGATTATTTGTTTTCGTGTCGCGTTTCTTTTTGTTCCACAACTTTCGCAATCGTACATGTTATCACTGTATAATTCTTCCGGTTGAAGACTTTCGTCGATGAGTTCCTTTTTAAAATTATTTTATTATTATTATTATTATTATATATCGTAATTTTATATGGAAAAATTTCACACGTACCTGAAGATCACAATATTTTTGATTGTCCGGTATTGATAAATGAAGATCTCTAAAATGATCATTTTTAGGAAAAGATTTTTTACAAGAAGAACAAACGGTTGTTGATACGGAAACTCCACCGAATAACCTTTCTATTATCGTATTTTCATCTAAAATAATAATAATAATAATAATAATAATAATAATAATAATAAAATTTTCTTTTAATTTCAGGTTCCAAAAGGATAAAAAAAGAGGAAAAACGAAATCGAACCAGATGTTTTATTAGAATTTGATTCTTCTCCATTACTATCCCCATTTCCATCATCTTTTTTTTCTATATTTTTATTCAATGATATAAATTGTTTTTTTCTTTTTATTACTTTTTTTTCACATTCGTGAAGTGTGTCAAGTAAATATCTGCAAATAATTAACAAAAAATTATTATTATTATTACTACATTATTCCCTTATTTAATAATAATAATAATAATAATAATTTTCATTAATAGTCATAAACACAGACAAAAAAATTAAAAAGATTTTATTAGTACATTAAATATTCTGAACTATCCTGTTGGTGACTCGGTCTAAAAGAAGGAGGAAGAGTAGAATTCATAACTCCATTAGGTGCCAAAACAGATCTTTTAGATTCTTGCATGAGTGCAAATAATAATTGAAGATCGTTGGCTGCTTTTTCAGTTGGATCTAATTCTTTTTCTATGAGTTCTTTACGAAATCTATTCATTTAAATAAATATTATTATTAAATTAATTTTTTTAACGGTTTTTCGAGGAGAAAAAAAGAAAAAAAATTATCATCACCTGGTTGTCATGTACAAAATTTGTAATATGCTATTCATAAAACAAGTGTTACCCTGATTTACAAGACCCTTATAAGGTGTTTCCGATTTAATACTATTAATATTTTCACCATAAGTTGAAAGAGGCCAATCATTATCAATTTTTTTTTTCGAATCCCAAAGAATCATTGAACTTGAATCAAATTCACTATCAGGCAAACACTAAAATCCACATTTGAAATTTAATACTTTGCAAAAAACATCACATATTTAATAAATAAGAATAAGACATTAAATTTTACCTTTAAAAGTTCTTCAATTAAATTAAACTTTACTTCATAATTTTTTTTTGGAGTAAACCGATTCAAAAGCGTTCTGATTAACCCGATAAAATCCAAATACACAGGTTTCACTTCTTTATCTTTTTTTAGTGAATGAATTATTTCAGGCACAATATCTATTACCTAAAAAAATAATTGTTTTCTTTTTTTTTTTTAATAATAACTTAAAATTGAATGATTAACAAATCATTTTACTTACTTTGTAAAAAACATGTGGGGTAGGAACTGAATATAACAATTTACGAAAAACAGGATAAGTTAAAGGGCGATATGAGGATATACTCAACGTTCGTATGAGTCTAACAATAACTCTTTCTGAAACTTCTATGAGAACACTATAATTTTTTCTAATTTCTAATTCTTTTATAATTACAGGAATCCAATTTTGAAGTCTATGTTCATGTGGACCCCATTGACAAAGGCCTTCAATTATCGCAGACAACATATTTTGCACCTGAAATGGATTTCATATGTACAGGTTAGTTTAATTTTTTTTTTTTTTTTATTGATATCTCTTTAATTTGACTAATAATACTTTATAGTTATCGTTCATGTTTGCATCACACAAAAGGCCTTCAACAAATTCTGCAATTTTATCTTCTTCGACCAAACCTAAAATGGTCCAAACTGCGGGACTGACAGGTGTTGAATTGTTTGTTATTTCCTGATATAAGAAATTTAAACATCTAATCATTGTTTTCCCACTAGGATCACATTGCCAGAATTTTGAAAGTGATGCTTGAAGAGCTTCAACATCCTTTAACCACTTAGATACTTCAGTTGAATTCTAAATTAAGAAATTAGTAGAAAAACAAATAATAATACAAAAATGTATGAAATACATTAAAACATAATTTTAAGGAGTTTAATACCTTGGGGCATCCAAACTCGAGTAACATTTTAATTATTTCTAGAGCTTGATGCGAAAATTCGGATGATTCTAATCGTTGTTCCGTCATTGAATATTTTTTTTTTTTTTTTTTAAATGTATAACCTAAAAATAAAGCTCTATATGAATGAATAGGAAATAATGAATCGTATTTTATTCAAAAATTTAAATTAAAATGAAAGAAAAAAATCATTTATAAAGTTTGAAAATTAAAAAAAAAACGAACACTAAACTAATAAAAAAATATAAAATTTATTTTAATGTATTAATAATATGTATTTATAAATGAATAGTGAAATAGATAAAATCAATTCAACTTGCCAATAATATAGCTAAAGTGAAAAAGAAAAAGTTTTATTCATTAAAGGAAAAATATATTTTTACGCAACGATTAGAGTTTATAATAAAATAACAAAACTAATAATTGTCATAGGTAATTAACGACGCAATGAGTCGACATAAATACAATCATACAGTACTTTGAGGAGCCATATTGCAACTACTAGTTTTACCTTTAAGACTACAAGTTCATTTCCTATAAAGAAAATTAATCAAGTTGATAAGACGGCAGAAACCGCCATAATAACCCAACTAGGAATGTCTAAATAAATTAATCCAATAAATTTTATATTTCTACATTCTTAAAGTTTAATAAAATGCTTTACGAACATCGTGTTAACCACAAGTAAATTGAATTATACGATTTTTATTAACAAATAACTCGTTAACGACTTTTTTTTAAAATTTTATATGTAAATATATGTTGTTAGATGAAAAATATTATTTTGTGAAAAATTTTCGAATTATATAAGTAATTACATATCTTATGTTTAGGTATATAGTTATTAAAATGTAATTTATATTTATTTATACTTTTAAAAGTAAATAACAATTACAACTGTGCAGTTTATGCCTGCAACCTCCCCCCTAAATAATAATAATAATGATTATAATTTATAAATATAAATATAATTTAAAATGATCAATTAAAAAAAAAAAAAAAAAAAAATTATATTTAATGTAATTTTTGGGCAATTTGGCAATACTGGAATTTAATGTATTTTACTTTGATAATCGTTTTAAGTAAAAACATATACATATGTATTTTATTTGACATGATGGATATTCTACCATCGATGTGTGGAACTTATTGTATTACTTTTATTGATACATTTCATTGGTCTGAAGATAAAATTAAAAAAGAATTCAGTACTGTTGGAAAAGTATTCAAAGTTCATAAAAATTATTTCGATAGGGTTTTCGTTAGGTTTTTAGAAAAAGATGATGCTTTGAAAGCTCTTTCCAAGTACAAAAACTCATTAAATGTGGAACCTGCACGTAATCGGAGAAAAAGGTTTGCTTAAGTGTATACTTTTCATTTAATAAATATCAATAATTTACAAATTTATTGCAATTTTAAGTACCCAACGTTACCTAAAGTTACTTTACTAACCTCTTAATTATATCGTTTTCAGCAGCACAGGCTCAAAAAGAGAAGAAAATAGAAGAAATAGTTCAAATGGTGCTACGTCAGTTATTAACCAAAATGAATTACCTGATGTACCTGAATTATTAAACATGAGTATGTTTTAATGTGTAAAACATAATTAATGGTTTTCCATGACTTTGTTTCATTCATGATAAGAAATAATTGTTTTTTTTTTTTTTACTTATTACTTTCGAATATTATTGAATTTCATAAATTTATTAAAACATTCTGAATGTAATTGTTATTCTGGTCTTGATTTTATTAGAAAACATATATTTATGTTTCAGAGTACTTTGCAAAATATTCAATTTTAATTATTATTATTTTTTTTTGTAATAATCATCTGTTTAAAAACAAATGTTTTTGTCGAAAAATTGTCGTTATCATGATAGAAAAGAGTCGAAAGTTTTTTTTTTTTTGTATATTTGAGTCTATTAATTTTAATATATTTAAAATTCATTCATGCATACATAATATTTTTTTTTTTTCAGGTCAAAATAAACAGAAAGTTTTTAATTTAGTATTAGGTAATCTTCCAAAAGATTACACAATTAAAGATGTCAAAGCTCTTGTAGCTGAAACAAAAGAATTAAAAATAAGTGAAATTGATGAGACTAATTTTTGTAAAATGTAAGTTTTTTTTTTTTACAACTATTTTTGAATATCTTTTCAACAAAATATATTTAAAAAAATGTATTTTTAATTGTTAATGAATTTTTTTTGTTTGTTAATAGGAAATTTTGCTGCCTTACATTAAATTCGGAAGAAAATCTTTTGTATCTCATAAATAAATTAAATGGATTCATGATATCTGGTAATAAATTAATTGCAGTTGAAGAAAATAAACTTTTAAATTGGTGTAAGCTTCCTCTTTGATTCTTGTTTAATAAAAAAAAAATTTTTTTAAATACATATACTAGTGAAATTACTAGTATTGTACTTTTAGAAATTATTCTAATTTAAAAAAAAGAAAAAAACATGACATTAAATTTTAATTTATGATGTTAGATTTATAAGTTTTATATATATATTAAAAATGAAATTATTTTTATAATTGTATAAAATTGTATTGTGTGGTACGTGCGAATTTGCTTGTTACCCCCCTCCCCCCCACGCACACATTTTTTAAAGAATTTTTTAATTTCATTTAATTGTATTCTTTTAAAAAGAAAAAGAGGGAAACGATGATGACGATGATGAAAACACTTTGAAAAGTTTTGTGGCAATTTTAAAATGAATACAACAAAGTTAAGATGTTCTTCTATAACTCCTCTTTGGTACAAAAAAAAAATTATAGGGGAAAAAATAAAAAAGAGGGAAAAGTTTCTTTTTTTCTTTGCAAATTCTGTACTTGCTGTTATTTTTACCAATTTTTACTGATTTTCTAAAAGTTGAAGGGATTAAGGGATTTGATTATCTTTTCTTTAGTTTAATATTATTAATACTTTTTTTTTTTTTGTTTTCCAAACATCTTAGTAGGCTGATAACACATTTCGAGGAACCAAAACGTTGGAGTTATCATTTTTAATGTTAATGACCGTAATCACACAAGAATTTTTCTTTATAAGAGAGAAAGAGAGAGAGAGACTGTTTTTTTTTTTTTTTTTTTAATTTAAGAAATTTTTTTGTGGAATGTTTATCAGTTTAAAAAAATAAATTAAAGGCTAGCCGAAAAGATGTACAAGTTTCCGCCTAAGTGCCCTTGATAGATTATCATTTTTCTCACAAAGTTTTTTTTTTTTTTTTAATTTTCCAGGGGCAATTTTTTTTTTTTTTTGAAAAATTGTTGTTATTCTGGATTATTTTTTTTTTTTAATTATTATTGTTTGGTTTTTCGTTCGTTTTCCTTGGGATATATATATTTTTTTACGTAAGTTGAAGTTTTTTAGTTTGTTTTAAGGGGTTACATTTTCTAAATTGTTTAAAGTACCCTTAAAAACAGTGGAAAAAAAATTTTTTAACCCCCCCCCCCCCGGAGTGAGTGAGGGATATAATAATAATAAATAAAAAATGTTAAATGTTTTCAACATATAATAATAATAATAAAAACGTTTTATGTAACAGCACAAGTGAAATGATATTAAAAAAAAAATTATTAAACTTTGTTGAAGTTTGATTAAAGAACTAATTTTTATTCCATTTTTATTTGTTTTAAAATAATAATAATAATTATTAGAATGTTTGCAAACATGATAAATATAACAAAAAAAAATTTAACAAATAAATAAAAGAAAAAAATGTAAAAAAAAATAATAAATTTTGATTTTCATTATCTAAATTTCAAGTAAATTAATTATTTATTATAAACGGTATTATTCATTTATTTATTTATTTACATAATATTATTATTAATTTTAATACAAAAAACTATTCTTTTTTTTTTCTAGATATATCATTCATTCTTATTATTATTATTATTGAAAAAAAAAAAAAATTTAGAAGAGAAATAATGACTTACGTGTTATTATCACTATAAATGTTTTCATAACTTTTTTCTCGTTTTTTTTTTTTTTTTATGTAATTAAAATTTTTTTTTTAAAAAAATGATTTTATGTATGGAAATATCATCGAAACGTGATTATAATTCACAAGTTATGATACAGAAAAAAACAAAAAAATTATGTTTTTTACAACAAATGATTCACTAAACATAAAAAAAACATTAAAAAATTGAAAAAAAAGTTTAAATAACAATTTGCTTCAGTTTTTTTTCTCTGTAAGTTTTTTATTTTTAATTATTATTATTATTATTATTATTATTAATTTTTAGGTTTTTAAATAAAAAATTGTACAATTTTAATTGTTATTAAATTTAAAACACTTGTTGTTTAACAAAAAAAAAAAAAAAATTGTTTAAATGCTTAAAGAATTTTGTTGTTGTTGTTGTTGTGACATAAAAATTTTTTCTAACGGATGTAATAATAAAAATTCATTAAAATTTATTAAACGAGGAACCACAAAACGAAAGAAAACGATTTAACATTGAATGTTACCTAATAATAATAATAATAATGATTATGACATTTATTGCCGTTAAAAATTTCAATAATCTATCATTATAAAACGATTTGAAATTTTTTTTTTTTTTTTTTTTTTTTTTACCTCATTTCTAGTTTGTATTCAATTATATTAGTTTGTGTGTGTGTTTGTATCCGTCGTTTGTTTTTAAATTCGTACGTATTATTATTATTATTTTTACAAAAACAACAACAAACAAACAATCAATCAATTCATTTACGTTAAATAAAAAACAACAACAATTTTTTTTCGATAGAAATTAATATCTTTGGATTTAGCAACCGTTTGTTTGTTTTGTCGATAAATTTAAACGAGACGACATGTTTTTTTTGCGTGTGTGTGTGTGTTGAACATTTTATGTTTTGTGTTATTATTATTATTATTTAGTTAGTGTAATACGTAACTGGTATTAATCATAGTAATAATAATTTTTTTTTTTTTTTTTTCTAATCGTAATCGTTTATTATCTTTCATAATCTTTTACTCATAATTTCTTATCAAATTTTTTTTTTTTTTTTAGAATTTTATACGACATTATTTGAAATTTTCTAAATTTAAATTCAACAAATAATAATAATAATAATAAATACTTATGTAAATAAATTTTGATAAGAAAATAAAATTCGACTGAATCCCTTTCCCCCCACAAAAAAAAACTCATATAAAGTATCCAAGGCCTTGTTTTTATTTTCCAGTATTATTATTATTATTATCATTATCATCATCATCATTAATTAATAAACCTTGACTTTTTCATTTTTTATTATTATTTAATTATTGTTATTAATTAATTTCATTTTATAAAAAAAAAAAAAAAAAAAAAAAAACGATAAATTATATTTTTACAATTATTATAAAATAATATAAATTTTTGTTTTACTTTCATAACATTCTTTATTTAATAATAATGATAATGATGATGATGATAATGATAATTAAACAAAGGTTAATTCTCACAATTGTTGTTGTTGTTGTTGTTGTTTCGTTTATTAACTCGTATAATAATAATAATGATAACGGAAGTCGAAACTCGTGCCCTGAATTTTTTTTTTTTTTTTTTAAAAAAACTTTCAATGTTAATTTTACAATTATTATGTTTTTTTATGTTTTATGTTTTTTTATGTTTTGTTTTTAAAAATAAATTAACCGTTAAATTATTTTATTACGTAATATTTCGTTTTTCGTGTTTCGTTTTTATTTTTTTTTTAAAATATAAAATATCATGCACGAGACGTAAACGCGCACGCACACACACACCAGTCAAAAACCTGTTTTATGTAATTTTATAAAAACCAGATTAATAATAATAATAATAATACTATTGATATTTTGCAATAAAATGAAATTAAATACGTTATTGATTGTTTTGAAAAGAGGCTATTAGGATATCAAAAAATAAGTCGAATTTTCTTATGTATTTTATTTATTTATTAAATCATGCGTCGTCAAATTTTATATTTGAAATGAAATTGAATTTTTATATAAAATAACTTGAAAATTTATATTTTATTGAAGTTTTATTATTACCCTCTAGCAATTTATATTTTATATTTTCAATGTTTGATATATATATATTTGAGAACTTTTAAAGTTAATAATTTTTTGTTTTTTTTTAAACAAGTTCGTTTTTTAAATTTTTTATAAAAAAAAAAAAAAACGCGGAAGATAAAAATTATATTTTGACAAATTCAAGGTTTGGGTGTTTCTAATATTATTAACAAATAAATAAATAAATTTTTATGTTTTATTACAAAAGGGAAAAATTTATCGACCGTTAAATCAAACTAAAAATAGAAAATCAATAGAAATTAATTAATTTTTTATTTTTTCAGGTATAATTGAAAATGAATTCGAGAACAACAACAGAAACTAAAAGAGAAATATCCGTCAAAGGTGATCTTATTGTTGTTAAAACATGTGAAAAAACAACAACAATTTTACCGGGAAAGGTATAAACATAAATAAAATTTAATTTTTACCGCCATCTTTTTTTTTAATTATTTTTTTTTTTTTTATTTATAAATAGGATCCGGTTATAAAAGAAGTAACAAAAGTTGAAGAATTCGTCGGTGAAGATGGTTTAAAAAGATTACCAGAAGATTTTCGTCGTCAACTTGAAAATATTTACGATAAGAAAACTGTTTCGCCATCGAATAAAATTGCGGTAAAAGAAAATTTTGCCGAAGATTGTTTGGCTGAACATAATAAATATAGGAAAGCTCATGGAGTACCACCTTTGATCATGAGCATGGAGGTAAAATAAAAAAAATTTTCTTTTATTTTCTCGTTTTGTCGTTGTTATTTTCATTAAATAATTAAAAACATGATTGATTGAAAAATAAAGTTGGTTAAAATATGTGAGAAAAGAGTTCGAGAACTTTCCGAAACGGATCGTTTAACAAATAATCCAAATGCTAATTATGGTGAAAGCGTCGGATGTTTTTGGTCCACGGATCCAGATCATCAAATAAATCCTGCTGAACTTATGTACAGATGGTATGCAGAAAGAAAAAATTACAATTATAACGCCGAACCTAGTAATTTAAATGCAGGTACGTGAGTGTTTAACGGTTAAAAGAAGTACTACTCTTTAAAACAATGTTTTTATCATCATTATTATTTAATTTATAGGTCATTTTACTCAAATGGTATGGAAAAATAGTACGGAATTTGGTATAGCAGCGGCAAAAAGTAATTCTAATAAAATTTTCGTTATCGCCGCCTATCGTGCTCCAGGAAATTGTATTGGACAATTTAAAAACAACGTTTTGCCACCTACGTAAAAATTTTTTTTTTTTTTTTTTTTTTTTTATTCTCTCTCATTGGCCGAATCATTATTATTATTAAAATTTTTTAGAAACAAGGATATGAACTTTGATGAACCCGTTATGAGCGAGGCTTCGGCCAAAGCCGGAAGTACGAATAGAAATGAAAATGCATCGGGTGGCGGGGGGGGAAGAAGTGAAAATACATCCGGTAGTGGCGGAAGAAATGAAAATACATCCGGTGGTGGCGGAAGAAATGAAAATACATCCGGTGGTGGCGGAAGAAATGATAATGCATCGAATAATAGTAAAAGTGGAAGCACGGACGGTAGAAGAGCTGGTACCTCAAATGATGATTCTTCTATGGATCCTCTAAATCAAGAAGGTCTTGCAGTTCATAATGAATATAGAAAAAAACATGGAGTTCCGCCTTTGGTCTTTAGCAAACAAGTAACGAATTTCATTCACTTTTTCCATTTACGTATTTAATTTCGTAATTTTTTTTTTTTTTACATAATTTGATGGTATGTTTAAGCTCGCACAATACGCACAAGAATGGGCAAATTATTTGGCCAAAAATGAAAAATTCGAACATAGAAAAGAGAGAAAATATGGTGAAAATTTGTACACGTTCCAATCTAGTGACCCCCAAAGAATTGCAACGGCATCGGAAGCGTGTAAAAGTTGGTACGACGAAATACAAAAATATAATTTTGATTCGGAAGATTCATCACTTTCTTCAGGTACGATTGTAAGACTCTTTAACTAATTATTATTATTATACGTACGTGTGATTAAGTGAAAATATTTTAATCAGGACATTTCACACAAATGGTTTGGAAAAGTTCAAAAGAAGTCGGAATGGGATATGCAAAAGGAAAATCTGGAATGCAAATAATTGTAGCAAATTACAATCCTCCAGGAAATTACGTAGGAATGTATAAAAGCAACGTATTAAAACCATCGTAATATATATTAATAATAATAATAATAAATAAATAAAATTTATTTTCAATTATATCAATTAATAAAAACATCATTATTATTATTTTTATTATTAATCATCATCATGTCACGTGGAATCACGATAAATTTTCGCGTGGACAAAATTTGTGATAATCGCGCCTAAAAAAAAGTGATTTTTATCGAATGAGTGGAAAAAAAAATTTCCATGTGAATGATTGAAAAAGAGCGTGAATTGGAAAATGGAAGGAAAGATGGAAGGAAAGTTGATGGCTTTAAAATTTCTTTTTTAATATTTTTGTTGCAGTTCTGTCTCTAATTTCAAAAAAAAAAAAAAATTTTGTGATTGGGGGTTGAAAAAAAAAAAAAAACTTTTTACCGACCCTAAAAAATTTTATTTATATATAAACAGACACGCATATAGCCAAAGGGAAAAAACGTTAAATGAAATTTTTTTTTATATGAAAAACGTCGGCCATTTTCTTTTTTTTTATTATTGTATTTTAAAAACTTTTGTTTATATTGACATTAAAATGGTAAAATATATAAATATATTTTTGTTATTTTAAACTTTATTATTATTATTATTATATTACAATAAAATAAATAAGAGAAATAGATGTAAACATAACAAAAAAAAAATTGTTTTTTTTTTTTTTTTATTTATATTAATATTGGATTTCATTTGATTTATATGAAAAGATTTCACGTAAATATTTTTGTCAAAATATTGTTATACGATATGTTTGCATATTATTTAATAATAATAATAATAATAATAATAATAATAATAATATTTTTTTTCTTCGTCTAGACGTGACGTGATTGATAGATTGAAAATAACAAAAGAATTTTTCTCATTTTAGAAAAAAAAAACTATTCGATAAAAAAAAAATTAATTTTTTTATATGATTTCATTTCATTATCTATCATTCATTTAATCAATTAATTATTATTATTATTATTATCGTAACGGAAAATTGTTATGAAAAATATTTTTCAGTGAACATCAATCAAAGCAAAAAATTTTAAAAGAAAGAGAGAGAGAGAGAGAACAACAAAAGATGAGAAAAACCTTTTTTTTTTTTTTGAAATTATCTGTCAAAAAAAAAAAAAAATTTTTTTCAAATTTTTGTTTTTCTTTTTTTTTTTCAATTCTCTTGTCAATACCAAAATCATTATTATTATTATATATAATAAAATTGAATTTTTAAAAAAGGTGTCGAAAATGTGTGGTGCCTCCTTTTAATAAATATTTTTATGTTCTAAAAGGGTGGCTAATTATTAAATCCCCAAAAATTATTTTTATATTGAAAATAAAAAAAAAAAAAATGTGCATATGTGTGTGTGCGTGTGTGCGTGTATGTCTGTCTGAAAAACAAACAAACAAACACACACACACACATTTCTATATTGTATTTTTCTCATGGTTTCCTTTTTTTTTTTATTTTTTTTTAATGTATGTATAAAAATTCACACGTAAACGAATAATTTCATAAAAATTATTGTTATTATTATTATTATTATTATTATTATTATTTATTTGTTATTTATTTTCTTATCCAATTCAAAAAAAAGGAGAATTTTTAAAAACATGTTAAAATAAAATCAAATTCAGCCATTGTGGTAGAAAAAAAAAAAAAAAAAATTCTTCTTTATTGAATAAGAAAAAATAAAATAACCATTGATTTCATTGAAACGTAACGGGAAAAAAAAAAATTTAAATTTTTATCAATGCAAAAAAAAAATGTTTTTTATCTCTATGGAAAAATTTTATTAATTTAAAAACGGCCCGAGTGAGTTTTAATGTAAAAAAAAATTTTTTTTTTCTCATTGAATTTATTCGGCAAACCCTTTATCATTATTATCATCATCATTATTATTTTTTTATAATTTATAAAGCCTTAAAAAAGAAAAAAAATCTTTAAGAATATTAATATTATTATTTTATTATCGATTAATATCCGACGGTCAAATCAAAAAAAAAAAAAAAAAAAAATTTCCCCCTCTTAGTTAAAACTTATGAGAAATAACTTTTTTATTCCCTCCATCTTTAAAATTCGTTAATTAAACTTCCGGTTTTTTTTTATAAAAAAAAAAAAAAGGAGGAGTCACGAGCAAAAAAAAAAAAATTTTTTTTTCTTCCCATTCCCCCCGCCCCTTTTTTTTTATCTCTCCCTCTCCTTTTTTTGATTTCATATTTCCATACGAATACATTTACAAATACTATCTCATTAAAAAGAATTTTTTTTTTAACTCTCCCTCTCTCTCTCTCTCTCTCTCTTTCTCTCTCATACTTTTTTCCCTCTTTCATTTTATCTTTTCTCTTTCTTTTTCCCTTTCTCTCTCTCTCTCTCTCTCTCTCTCTCTCTCTCAATCTCTTTCGCCTTCATTAACGCATATTTTTTCAAAAGGTAATTTGATTTCTTTTACAAGCTTGAATTTTATTTTTATATAAAAAAAAATTTTTTTTTTTTTTTTTTTTTTTAAAATTCGAATAATCAAAATGTGAAAAGAAAAAAAAATTATGAGTTTATTTAAAAATTAATTATTTATTCTTATTTAAATAGCTTTTTTTTTTACTTTTCTATTAATTAATTAATTAATTAATAACTTTTAAGAACTCATACATAAATACCCGCGTTTGCATGTAAACAAAACTTATGACGTGAATGTTTAAATCAACTTATTATTATTATTATTTTGACTCGTAATCACGTCTTAATTCCATTTCATTCATTTCAGGTTCTACCCCGACGATCCTTAAAGTTATTATCATTATTATTATTGGAAAAAAAAAATTAATAAATGAGTAAGGAGGTATAAAAAAAAAACCGCCTTTTCCCATTAACAATAAAAATAAACATAATAATATTGTAACTTATTAATAATTTTTTAATTAATTGATGATAATAATAATAATAATAATAATAATGAAGTTATAAACAAATATAATTCGTAGTTAAAAAAATAATTTTTTTTTTTTGATTAAGTACGAATAATAGTTGCGTTGATTTATCACCCTAAATAATTTTTTTTTTTTTATAATAAAAACCCCTAAAGGAAGCCAGAATGAAGGGAGAATAAAAAAAAAAAAATAAGCCAATCATAAATGTTGGCCCCAAACTAACAACCAATCAGATTTTTTCTTATTTTATCCCTCATTTCCAAATGTTTTTTTTTTTTACAGACGTTACAAAAAATGGTTGATGATGATTTTTTGTTGACTTGTGAAATTTTTTAAATTTTTTTTTCTCACGAATTGAAATGTTTTAAAAGGTTAAAAGGTTATCAAAATCATTCAATTAATTATTATTATTATTATATTTTAAAAGTTTTTTTTAATATGTTAAAATTCATAATATTTAATTTTTTCAATAATTTCAAAGTAAAAAATATTATATAAAAATTTTTTTTTTTTATTGTTAAATTATTCTTAGCAGACGACAAAATTATTTAAATATTATTTTTTAACGATGTTTATATAAATCTTTTTTTTTTTTTTAAATTCAAAAACGTTTTTGAATAAAAGAAAAGTTTTTTTTTTTTAAATAATAAATGAAATAATATGGATGATACCCAAAAGGGTGGATAAAGATTGTAAGCTTGTTAGCTGAGCTTGTTAACGAGAAAAAGCAGAAGACATAACGAGCTGTGACAAGAGTTAGCAATTAGTGAATGGAAATGTGTTGTGTGTGTGTGTGTGTATGTGGAAGAGATAGCAGGGTTGAATGAAAAGTCGATGGGGATGAAATTGGGAAACCTTTTTTTTTTTTTATTCATCGTAATTTGTTTTTCTCCCTTTTTTTACGCGAAATTTATTTTTAAAAAAATGATTTCGTTCGAATTTCTTTTAATTTTAATAAAATATTAAGGAAAAATCATCATTATTTTCCTTTTTTTTTAATGGAGGTCGATGACTTATTTATCACAATTAATTATAATTAGTATTTTCGTATTTTAATAACTAATTCTTTATATAAATAGATATATGTGTATGAGTAAAATAAAATAAAAATTTTTTTTACAGAAAAACGGAAAAAAAGAAAGATGGAGAAAAAGAATAAGGGAAACAAAACGAAAGAGTGAGATAATCATAATACAAGAGAAGAGAAAGTTTCTTTATTGGGTTAGTTAGCATTATGACAGATATCGCATCATAACTAACTTTATAAAATTTGGTACCCGAGGGTCTAAAAAAGTTGTTCTTTTACCCCTTTAGACCACCCCCATCCTCCATACCTCCTTCCTTCCCCTCTCCCACCATCCACCTCATCTTTATCACATTAAAACTCAATTTTATCACAGATATTTTTCTTTCTTTTTTTTTTTTTTATTCTTCTCTTAAAAGTCACGTCTTGATGTTATTATAAAGAGAAAAAGAAAAAAAAAGAAACAATTTTTCTTTTTCTTTTTTTGTTATAAATTAAATAAAAGTGAGAAGAAACACCATGAGAAAATAATAATAATAATAAAAAGGATTTGATATAAAATTATATTTATTAATTTTAAAACGTTTAATTTTTTCATAATAATAATAATATTAAATGTTATATTGAAGCAATTAAAAAAATCACATTAACGTCGATAATTATTTTAAAAAAAAAAAAAAAGGGATTTTTAATAATTTACCCCATAAGATATAATAAAATAGCCGCCATTGTTGTTTTTATTTCGTTTAGTTAATTAAATCTCCGTTAGGTGGTAGCACCCGTTACTTTTCTCTAATGGATGAAAATGAGAAAATGAGGAAAAAAAAAGAAAATTTCTTTTTGTTTTAAAATGTTTTATTTAAAAAAAAATTAACGTTAAACATTTTTACAAATTAAAATAAAAAAATATTTTATATAAATTTTTCAAAAATCATACATGCGTGAAAGTATAATTAATTTTTTAAATGTTAAATAATCATTAAAATAAAAGTTATATACGAAAATGGCGAGGGGTGGGGGAAGAGGAAAATAAATAAATAAATAAATTTTAATGAGAATGGTAAATAAAATAGTTAATGGTAAAAAGTAGTAAGTAATAATAGTAGAAAATACCACAAAGAGAGTAAAAGTAGAGAAAATAAATTAAAAAAAAAGGTTTCGTTTATTTTCACCCCTTTTTATATTATTTCCCATCATTTCCTTTCGCATCCTTCTATGCCACTTTAAACCAAGAAAAATTAAGAAAAAAAGAAAATTTTTCTTTCCCCCTGTAAAAAAAAAAAAAATCCTGTTTTTTCATTTAACTCAGAAAATTTTCCACGGAATTTCCCATTTTTTTCTCTCTCTCTCTTTCTCTTCCTTTCTTCTTAAATAATTTTTTTTTTCCTCGATATAAATTAAATTTCCTAAAAGATTTAAGGAAATTTTCTTTTTTTTTTATTGACAGGTGTAAATTACTCAATTTATTTATTTATTTATTTATATTAATTGCGTTGTTTTATTCAGATAATTATAATTAATATTATTAACGTTTAGCGTCAATAAAACTAAGCAAAAAATTTTCCATATTAATAATAATATTAATTTTACATTCGCACCATAAAAAATTTTTCCCTGGAAATATAAACAATAAATTTATTTATTTTTTTCCAATTCTTAAAAATTGTTTTCACGTATACAAATAAAAAAAGTTACGAATAGAAAATAAATTTTTTTTTTTATTCTCCTGACACGTTAAACGTAAGAGAGGAAAAAATAATAATAATAATAATAATAACGACAGATGTTTTATTACCTATACTTCGTACCTTAAAAAAAAAGGGATAATAATAATAATATAGTAAATAAAAGGCAAATAAGGTAGAAAACAAAACAAAAAAAAAAAAAAAAAAGAATTGAGAGTTGTCATTTTCATTTGTAGTGTTTAGCAAATGAGGTGAGAAAAAAGAAGCCTTAATAACTGAATAATCTCTCCCTTTTTCTCCCCTCTCTCTCTCTCTATTTCACTCTCTCTCTCCTCACTCCTCTCTTTTCCCTTTTTTTCTTCTTCTTCTTTTTCTTTTTTCCCCCACCGCCGCCCCGAAAAAAAAAAAAAATTATATTCAATGTAAATAGACAAATAAAATATAAGCTTTAAATCCTTTGAAAAAACAATATTTTTAAGTGTTGTCATCAACCTAAGAAGACCGTTATCCCTTTCATATTAATATGGGTAAAATAGTTTATGTAACGTTATTATTATAAATTTTACCCTCGATGCTCCGCCCATTTTGTACAAGGCGGCGACTGACGTCGGGAGTTTGGCAGTCGCGTATCAACGTTTCTCATGTGAATTACTAGTTATTTAATTTTTTTTTTTCCTACAATTTTTTTTTTTTTTTTTTTGGAAATAAATATATAGATATATGTACATAGGTTTTATGATTATTATTATTATTAAATAAAATTTTATTTTTTTTTATTTTAAAAATTCAATCGTAAAACGCTGATATTCGCGTTAATCGTACAATAATAATAATAATAATAATAATAACAAAGAAAGTTATCGTGTAAGAAAACTAGATATAAATTCGCGAGTATTTAGTTATTAAATCGATCGGGAATCGGTTGTGATTAATTAAAAGCAATGGGGAATGAATAAAAATGATGGGAAAATAACTTTAATAATAATAATAATAAAAATAAATTCAATATGAATATCAAACCTGAAATCCCATCGCCGAATAACGTGAATCAGGGAAACATATCGTCATCAACAACGAATTTAAGTAACGCGTCAGCCATCGGTACAACGATCACGACGCCAACGGTGTCTCCCAGACAAAATCAAACGACCATTCAACGAACGTCATCCGCGATGCCTCAAAGGAGTCCATTTGCCATACAAGAACTATTAGGCCTAAACGAAACGACAAACGTCGATAGGAAAATGGTCACGGGTATAGGAGGTATCGGTGCGACGGGATTTCAAAATCGCGTTCTCCCTCATTTGCAAAACGACAGCAATTTTCACCATCACATGTTGGCGGCGGGTAATCTCACGAGTCGTATGGCATATTTTAACGCTCAGGCAGCCGTCGCAGCTGCCTACAACATGAATAGCATGGCAGCAGCTGCAGCAGCAGTACAAGTTGGCATGGCCGGCAACGGAACGTCCGCCGCCGGTAACGCATCCACAGCAATGTTGGGTTTAAACCACGTCGGAAGAGACCACAGCGCTGGAAGTAAGTAAAAATCCGACATTTTCTTTTTTTCTTTTTTCCTTTTTTTTAAAAAAAAATTTTTTAAATTTTAATAATCCTTTATTAAACCATAAAATCAATAATAAACGGATGATGGATATTTTACAACCAGAAATTTAATTACTTTTAAAAAAACACATAAATGAGAGATGAAATTCATAAATATCCGGTTAATTAAATTTATTAATTAAATAAATAAATAAATAAAATCAAAAATTAATGTGCGTGCGTGCGTGCGTGAAGGTTGCGTATTATAAAAAATTTTTGTTTTTGACAAAATTAAATTTCTTATTAATTTATATGAGTGATACATAACACATGGTTTATATGACGTCTCTAACTAAAATATTAATAATAATAATAATTGAAGCGAAAAAGAAAGAAAAATTAATTTATTTTGACTTATTTATATCAATAATAATAATAATAATAATAATAATAATAATAGCTTTATTTATTATTAATAATATAATTCAGATTAAAAAAAAATTTTTTTTCTTTTAAATATAAAACATGAGAAAAATAAATAAATAAATAAATAAATAATAGTATCAATAAATAATTGTTTATTTATATGAGAGAAAACAATAATAATAATAATATTTTAATGTATAAACAAAACGATTAATAAAAAAAACTCAATAGTAAAATGGATAATGATAAATTGATAATAATAATGAAATTTGGGGCAAATATATTAGAAAAATCAATTATGTAAAAGAAAAAAGAAAGAAAAATATAAAGGGATGAAACAACCCTCGTAAGCACACACATCTTAAAGAAAAAAAAAAAAAAAAAAAAAAAAAAAATTTTGCGGCGGCGACTTCCAAACGCACCAAAAGCGGTTTCAAGGGGCTTAAGGGCGCATGTACCGAAGGAAACAATGGTTAGGATATATCCGCATTTATATTTCTTTCTCTTTTTATTTTCATCTCCTCTCACTTTCTCTCGCTCACTCACTCATTCTTTTTTCCTTTTTTATATATATATATATATATATTTTTTTTCTCTCTCTCTCTCTCTCCCTCTTCACCCCCTACCCATTTTCTCCTTTTTTTTCCAGCTTCTGGCTAACGAGATTTAAAAAAGTTTGGACACAATTTTCTAACTTTTTCCACTCTGAAAGCTTTAAAAATTAATTAAATTTTCCTTTTTCCTTTGTGGGCGTCTCCGATTTATTTATTTATTTATTTATTTTTTTTATTCTCTTCCTTCTTTTTTTTTTTTTTTTCATTTTTTTTTTGTATTTTGGCTTCCATTGGCGTTTTTCCTTTTTAAAATCATTTCACAACCGTTTGAAATTAATTTCAAAAAATTTTCTTTTTTTTTTTCCAATTTTCCTGAAAGGTTTTTCTACTCGTTTAATAAATAAAATTCATCTCCCATTTATTTAAAGATTATATTAAAAATTGCTTATTTTCCTTTGTTTGTTTTCCTTTTTTATTCTTTATAATATATGTGAGATACCAATAAATACTACATAAACACCTAATTAAATAAATAAATAAATAAATAATAATAATATTATTAATTTGATGTAAACGTTTTACGTATAAAAATATAATAATAATAATAAAGTCATCAAATAATGGAGGGGAAAAAAAAGAAAAAAAATTTTATGCGTTGATATTTGTATTCAAGGAAAAGCTAAAAGAAAAGAAAAGGAAAAAAAAAAGTTCCCAATTAGAATTCTTGGAGCTTTTCTAAAAAACGTTTTCACATTTTAAGACTTAATTTAGCTTCTCAACTCATTTATTCAACCGAGCTGAAGAATTCCTTAAATTTTAAGAAAGTTTGTCGAGCGAGGTAAAAGAAAGAAAAATGAGAAGAGAGAGAGATAGAAAGAGAGAGACCGGGGGGAGGGGGATAAATATAGAGATGGAAAAATGAAAAAGTGAGAATGAGAGAGAGAGAGAGAAAGAAAGGAAGAAGGGAAGAGAGAAGGAAGGAAGAAAAAGGAGGAAAGAGAGAGAGAGAGAGAGAGAGATAGAGAGAAAGGAAGGCCCTCAGAATAAAGTCAGAAGGGAGCCAACGTATAAATAATGGCGTTTTTCACGATGGAAAAACACAAAAACGGTTTTTACAACTTTCGTTTTTCACTCGTCTCGAAAATTCTAGAAAATATTTTTGTTTAATTTAAAAACGTTTTTCCTTCTTTTTTTTTCCTTTTTCCTTCTTTTACTTCTTTGGTGCAATTCTAAAATTTATTTTAAAAAATAGTAATGGTAGTTTTTCTTTTATATCGAATCGAAAATTATTTTATATCGAAATAATTCGATTCGATATTTATATATAATTGGTTAAATATAAATTATTTATTGTTAAAACAAATAATGATAAAAAGAAAAGAAAATTTTTTTTTATTTTTACCCTCTTTGATTGTATCGTTCAAAATAGATATCGTTTTGATGGTCATTCGATACTCGTTCGATTTCGAGATCCGCCTCCCATGATTAACAGACAATGGTTGAGGCGTGCGGGAATAAAAATAAACACCTGGCCAATTTACACCTTCGTTCTCATATAAATTCAATTCATTATTATTATTATTATTATTTAGTTTTTTTTTTTCAGGCGCGATTCAAACCCACAAATTGTTTTTTTTTTTATAATTCGAACCTGATAAAAAAAAGCGGATGAAAAACTTTAATTATAGCTCCCTAATCCGAACGTTCATGAACATATTATTATTATTATTATTATTATTATTATTATTATTATTATTATTATTATTATTACTTTGACCGTTACATCGCACGCGTTTTTTTTTTAATAATGGAATTTAATTGCATGATTTGTTTTCTATAAAAGTCAAAATGTATTATTATTATATTAAAATAATCAGTTATTTAAATGTCGACGACACATCTTCTTTACATTCTCAAAAAAAAAAAAAAAGAAAATAATAATAATAATAATAATTAAATAAAAATGCTGTCAACCTTTTTTTTATTAAAGAGGAAGCCATGGAAGAAAAGGAGATAATGGAATTGTTGACGTTTTGGTTTATTGTTAAATTGAGTCAATTAGGTACACTTAAACCGAGTATTGTTCCCAAAAGGTATACGGGTACTTATTGAGCACCCACACGTCAAAATATCTTATTGACGGATTTAACAAGATTATCTAGCAACTGTTCAGAGAGTTCAGAAGCGAAAAAAAAAAAAAGACGGAGAATTTCTAATGATGGAATCAAGACAAAGATAAACTTAGAAATATAAAACTATTCACATACATTTTTTTTTTTTTGTTATCTCATCTTCTTCTTCTTCTTCTCCATCTTTTATTGTTAAACGAACAAAAATATTTGAATGAAAAAAAAAAAAAAAACGTTTTCGAATTCATTTACTTTTCAATGGTTTTCATTATATTTTAGGCGCGATTAAAAATAAATAAATTTTCTTTTTTTCTTCGGAAAATTATAAAACAAAAAAAATCCAGTTTTATTTATTTATAATGACTTATCCAACGATAAATATTTATTTATTTATTTATTCTTTCTAGAATTTTCTTTTTCTCTCTCTCTCTCTCTCACTCAACAAAACGGAAACGCAAAAAAAAAAAAAATCGAAATTTCGACTTATTAATAATAATAATTTTCATATCATTTTAACTTGAACAATTTACGTTATAATGAAAAATTATATTTAGAACGTTGGCGTCAGTGTTGCCAACCAACCCCTCGTCGTCGTAAAAAAAAAAAAAAAAAAATTTTTTTTCTTTTTTCTTTTTCTTTTTTTTTTTTTCGCACTTCAAATTAAAGCGAATAAATTTTATTACAGCGAATAATACGAATTCCTCAGTGAATTAACTTCATTAGAATTGTCGGGGATGATCAAGAGAAAGAGGGTGTAAAATAAGGGATGATTTTATATATATAACATTTTTTTATATAATACATTTTTTTGTTTTAAAAAACCCGTTAATTCGTTTACGAATTAATAATAATCCCTACTTTTTTCAATAAAAACAGAATCATAATCAATTATTTATTATTTAATTAAACGTTTTGACATTTATAAATATATATGGCAGCCATTTTTATTTACATTATATCCATTATTATTATTATCGAATATAATTTTCCATGATTCGCGTGTAAAAATAAGAGTATATTTACCAAAAAAAAAAAAAAAAGAATTAATGTTTTTTTTTGGGGGGGGTAGGGTTAGGAGGAAGGGTATGGGGAGAGAGAGAGAGTGTGGGGGGGTTTGAAAAACGATTATAAAGGTAAATCGTAGGTAGAAAATGTCACGGGTAAAATCAAACAATAACCAATTGAAACGTAATTGAAGGCATCCATCCAATTTTTTTTTGTTAACAATAAAATAAACAAAAAATGCAACGTCATCGCCAATAATCAACTATTAACTGGTAAAAAGGGAGCGTCGCCATTCAAACTATAACAATGCAATGAAACGGAAATGGGTCATTATCTTGTCATAAACGCTTTTTTTATTTTTCCAACGGATTTTTCTGTTTGTTTTTTGTTTTTTTTTTTTTTTTTTTTTACCATTCCCTGGAAACTGCCATTTTGTTTCCTTAAAAATTAATTATTCATCATCATAATCATCAACGTGTCGTTATTATAATTTTATTTTATTTTTATTTTCAGGTTTTTCACATTTGAAAAATTCATTCGGTTCAACTACTCCCTGCATGCCTGGTAAGTCAAGTTACTCTTTATTATTATTATTATTATTATTTGTTTTTGGGAAAAATAAAATGGTGAAAAATAAATTAAAAAACAAAAATAT